CTTTCTCTTGCAGGGATTTTTTTTTCTTCTTCAGGGAATGTTAATAATAGGCTAATACACAGCTCTCGAGTTTCTGAGACTATAAAGGCTTGCCAATATGGCCAGGTATGTTTGTGAAAAATTGTCGTGTCAGTGCTCACACATATTAATATAACTTTGGACTGCATTAAAACAATGACGTGTAAAATGGCGGTAAAAATGATAGCAATTTAAAAGCCTTGTATTTCATTTCGGATGGTTTAACTAGTCAAATCATAACCATTCATGTACTGTTTATTAAAGAAGAATATCAAGGAGCCATGGGGCTATCCTCTTCGGTTGTAAGGCTAAAATCAATCTTTTCCTAAAAACGATTTGTTATTTTGAGTTCAGTGAATTGCTGTCACAAGCCTTGTCAAATAGAAGCATTCACTATGCATATTACAAGTCCGGCTTCTGCAGAGCTGCAGCGCTATTAACATGAAATATTACTGCGCCCGAGTGTGCAAGGAATGCAAGTGTACTCATTCCATAACCACATATGAATTAGATATTCAATAAATGCTATTTAAACAATTTCGATGCATTTTTTATTTTATTACTATTCATATTTTTGGAAGTGGTGGTGGAGGCTATAGGGAGGGTTTTATTATTCTTCTGCAGGTTTTATGGTCCCCCTTGTACCTTTCATATATTTCAAACTCTTCCCTTATTGTTTGAAAGTCGCCTGTGATCTTGGGAATTTTCTAATTAAAGTAAGTTTGTTCCCTTGTCTCATGCCGCTGAGTCCATTCACTAAATCTGAAAAGGAATCTTTGATGTAGTGGCTCAGCAAGACCATAACTCAGCGCCTCCGCCGGTACACTACAATTCTCAGTGAACTCTGTTTGAACCACGTTGCTGGCAATAAATCATTTTTCTTTCTCTCACAAAAGCGCGCCGGTCGCTCTGGGTGTCAACCATTTTATAATTCCTCCCTACCTTCTGCGCTCTTGTGGTTGCTGACACAAACAGCTGCATAAAACATCGATAATAACATCGCTTAACCATTTCATGCAAAAACAGGCCCTCTAAAGAGAATAAAAACGGCAATGAGGCAAACGCTGGAAATAATAAACAAATTAATGCAATGTACAAAGCGCCGGTGCATACAGCTGTCTGTTGCTTTCTCTACCACTCCAACGCTTGAGGACATAGCCTAAACATTTTGGAGAGAAAAAAAAAAGATTTTAAAACTTGATAAAAGACTTTTAAACAAATATCGATACTGTGTGAATACTTCTCTCTCTCTCTCTCTCTCCAATAGAACATGCCTAGTTGAACCACTCACCATATTGTACAGAAAACGTTAATCTACGAATGCCATTTCTCTATAGAGAAGATGACATTAATCATTGCGGCGCAGCAGCACGTCTAGTGACCTCCTCATGACCGCATATGTTT